ATAACAAAGAAACCGAGCTTAGAAGAAAATTCTGATCGAAAAATCCCTGAGCAAATGGTAAAATCAAAAGCTCAAACACATCACACGAATGAATAACAACTGTCATATTCCTGACTTGGTACAGGCATTTTCTTATGCAGAAAATGGTGGATTAAACCTGGTTTTATAGCTAGATAAACATCTCACTTGTATGACAGTCGCATAAAATTCCAATATATTGATAATGATGTGTGAACAAAACAAACGGACATAATAGGTAAAAATGCCAAAAATAGGGGTACAGCAGTCATCATTGTGTTATAATCTTAATCACTACACAAGCAAGCAAATATGTCAACAAAGACAAACAAAAAGGCATATAGACAAAGCACATTACTGAAAACGAAAGACAAGAATACAACAATGTACCATAGAACAACAACACAATGACGGGATGTACAAGTACCGAGCAATTTCAAAGGGATACTGCCAAAAATAGACTAAACAATAAAAGTAATAATTTACATAGACAAATAAAAGAATACTTTACCGCGTTATTAAGATGATATAATAATCAAGTGCACTTTGTTTTCTTACTTTTGCAAGTGACATACAGAGCACTTTTAGTATAACGCTAACCCCAGCAAATTCAATTGTTACGTTTAGATAGAGCATGTTCAATCACAGTTCACAAAGATACAAAAGGGATATTCAAACTCATGAGTGGTTGACAACGTCCTGGTAAAAAAATAAAAATGACAAAAAAACATATCATAAAAAACTGAAGATTGGGCTTCAGGAACTCTACCAAAAACTCGGAGGTGATTGCAAGTGCACTGGAAGGGTGAGCATAATCTGCTCCACATATGGCACATGTAAGTACTAATTTTGTGATCTCACATACGAGGAAAGTGGACAGATTTATGAAACACATGTTCTGTAACAGTCAACAAACTAGTGATTGCGTTCAGAACAAAAGGAAGACATCAACTTTACCATTTTGCAAGTGTTTTATACTCCCGATTTCTAAAAGCGCTTTAAAAGAAGGTAACAATATGATTTAAGCAAATTAATATTAATTTGAAAACTTGAAAACTTGCTTGAGGTTCGACTTTGACGAAATTTTTAATGTAAAGCTCATATGTGTGTATAGTTTTCATTGTTATTATGAAATATTTTTCTCCTATATAGCAATGTGAAATTATTGTGCAGAAATTCTTATTTTGTCTTTAATCAGCGATTTTCTTAAAAATATTAATCTTAATTAAATCTTATAATTCTGAATTGAATGAAAAAAAAATCATTCAATATGGACAAGAAATATCTTTAGTAATATTTCTATCAAAAATGCGTTTTTATATTATATAATAGGGGAATTTCCGATTGGTGAAACAGTTTAGACCTTAGATGTTTGACACAGCCTGGGTTTGTTCTGTGTAGTTATTTCATCGTTTGGGTGAGACAGCCAGGGGTTTGTTATGTGTAGTTTTTACACCATATATGTGTGACAAAACCAAGGGTTTCGTCTGCGTAGTTGATTCACCATATGTGTGACACAGCCAAGGGTTTGGTCAGTGTAGTTGCTTCATCATATGTGTGACAAAACCAAGGGTTTGGTCTGCGTAGTTGCTTCACCATATGTGTGACAAAATTAAGGGTTTGGTCTGCGTAGTTGATTCACCATATGTGTAACACAGATTGGGTCTTCTCGATAAAATATTCAATGTTTAGAGAGAATACGAATTATGTCTTTTAATTAAAATATTTAATGCTTAGAGACTATATAGATTATGTCTTTTCATTAAAATATTAACTGTTTAGAGACTGCATAGATATTGTGTTTCATTAAAATGTTCAATATTTAGAGATTATATTTTTGGAGACTTTATAGAAGATGTCTCTTTACTAAAATAGTCAATGTTTCGAGACTATATAGATTATGTCTTTTAATTAAAATATTCAATGTTTAGAGACCATATAGATGATGTCTCCTCATTAAAATATTAAATGTTTTGAGATTATATAAATAATGTCTTTTAATTAAAATATTCATGGTTTAGAGATTATGTAGACGATGTCTCCTCATTAAAATATTTAATGTTTTGAGACCACCTAGATGATGTTTTGTCATTGAAATAATCTATGTTTAGTGACTATGCTGAAGATCTATCCAATCGAAACAAAAGATACCACAGATACGGTTAAGCCTGTCCCTGAAAATGCTGAAATATTTGATTGACATCAACTATGTTTAGTTTTATGGATTGATATTTCAGCAGACAGTCGGTATGCCAATGAGTATTAATTATGCACTTCTACTGGCAGACTTATTTGTGTACTCAAATGAAGAAGAATCCATACGAAACCTTTTAAAAGTGAATCTTTCAAATTTTTCAAATTTCACTTTCAAAATGATTGATGATGATTTGTCACTCAAATCTCTACAATTCTATAAATGTTAACATCTCATATACCTCAGTGTACTTGAAATTTAAGAAAGCCACCGAAAAAGATGTTAATTGGATTATTGCTTAATAGCTTGATCTATTGCTCGATATTGACACAAATGGATGACTTCAGACTAGAATCTATAAAAACATTATGACTTCAATTATCCAAGTTTTCATTTACCAATTTTTAAGCAGTAACAAAACCTCTGCTTCATCGCATGGCGTTCACATATCTTTGTAAATAGGTTACGCACGTGCATGTTGACACTATATGGACTTTATTAACAGCGATGCAGACATCTGCTCAGGCAAAATTATGAAAAAGAACAATTGAAATCGACACTATATAACAAGATATACAATGTGTTGGCGTTTCAACTCACTAGCAATATGTTGTCGTGGTCTAATATGTTTGATTACCAGTATAGTTCTCTGATCAGTAATATATACAATTTTGTTATGTTACCGATTGTGACTGCATGCAGAAAAAGAGACGCTTACCCTGATGACGCTACCGCCTTTGCCCTATTTGGAGTTCATGCGATTCCCTAAGTTTCTGTTTCTCACCGTGATTTCTCTCTTTTAATCGATTTATAAGATTGAACGCCGTAATTTATCTTGGGTTTAAATAGCTGTACAGTTTGCCCTGCCTGGGACTTTCTTCGGGTAAAGGATGTGTTCATTAATAACCTATAGCTACTTACATCCGGTTTCGCTAGTTTTGAATTTTATAATTCCCTAAGGTTTTGGGATTTACTTATGTAGATTTTTGTTGACAGACTAATCATATTTGACCATCGATACACTATCGTTGCCTCTCATTTATGTGTTTTGATTCACAGTTTATTCGCTTGCTTTATACATGTGGTTGTAAGATTTAAAATCATTAAAGACAAAAAGCAAAATTCGTTTTTTTCGTAGCTAACATAACGAACATATCTACATAAATTGCAAATCTATTTACATAACAATAATACGTGTTATAAACAACGCAAAATGAGGAATACCCACCAAAACCCAAACATCAAAATATCTATTAACAAACACAGAACGAAAGTGTATATCATTTTTTTATAATCAAGATAATTAGACAAAACATTTATGTCGCTCGATAGTAAAATAGGTAGGTCATAAACCTTATTCATTATCAATTTAGTATACACTTGTCTCCACAGTCAACTTAAATACGAGCATATTAATTATATACTGCATGTCTCATAATTACCCTACGGTATATGTCATGTTTTATTTTAATGTCTTGTTCTATATAGTAAACATGGACCAAGAGAAAACAGGAGTATTTAAGAGTACTTTGATATTGATTAGTTGATACAAACAAAATATTTGTACAACAGAAAACTTCAAAATCGTATATAAAGGACGTACACCTCTGAGGAGCCAAACATTTCTAGAATTATTTTTTTTTTCTTTACGGCCATTTGCAAGTACACATTTTTAATGATTTTCCAATTTTTCAGCAATATTTACCTATTTTTGGGCTATTATCATAAACAAATCAAAGTTTCTCAATTAAACCTTTTTTATACTTACACTTAAGATGAAATGGACCAACTTAAACAAATTTAATTTAACTTAAAAAAAACAAACTATAGGTTGGTGTTAATATTAGAAAGTTTATAAAATGTGGTTGCTTTTTCGTTTTTTCGTGTCAAATTGACCATGCTGTCAATTATGTTAATTTGTGATTGTTCTCTTCTTTATTTTGTAACAAAAAGAATATTATTTCAACATCTTTGTTATGAATGATTGTAGAAGAAAATGAAAACATCTAGGAAGTTTGAAAAGAAAAAAAAATATATTGGATGTACATATTTTTGTAAATCATTTCTTTGTACTTCAATCCCATTTTATCTACGTTTTGGCTGATGACACTGACCGGAATGGTTATAAAATTTGAAAATATCATTCCTCAAAGACTTATTGTAAGTACACAGTTTTTTCACAGAGTTTAGTTTGATTTTTTTTTAAATTCATAGATATTTTCACTTGTATCACATGTTTTAAAAATAATTACCGATTGAGATTTCAACGAGACTAAAACATCAGAGGAATACATCCTTAACGAAATCGATTAGGTGACAATCGTACAGCAAAACTAAGCAAAATACATCCTTAACGAAATCGATTAAATATTTTGGGAATTGACACACGAGGATAAAAAAGCAAAGCAGAATTCCTCTTCAAATGAAAAAAAGGAACAATTATAACAACAAACAAATACCTTTGTCAAACATACCACTTCTCTGTTACTCTTTTACAAATCATATTATCTTATAAAATCTTCAAGTATGTGTCCTTATGAATAACATGAGACGTTTGGTGTACGTCTAGGGAACAATCGTACAGCAAAACTAAGCAAAATACATCTAAAAGTAATGCTCATTTAGAAATTTAAGTAATTGAATAATTGACATTTGGTACATACTCTTTTCAAGTTTTGACTTAAAAAGGGGATTTTGTACGCTCAGTTGATGTGAAATTGCTGTTTACTCCGATGTGATCCTATTATTTCTATAATGTCTATAAAGTAGTTGACTGATGATAAGATAATAAAATTACAAAAGATATTTAATTGAAGAAACGGTTAAAAAGCATAACAAATATTATAATATATCTTTCAGATCTGAATCAGGATAACAATATCATAAACATCAATGAAAATAAAACATTTACAGTTCTAAATTTACTGCTCCATATGTGAATCTCGACATTCAACGCCTCATCAGTGATTCCTGAGGCCCGAGTATTTAATAATCGAAAGCCTAATACAAACATTGAAGAGTCTATAACAAACAACATGTTAGTTGTGTTAACTTCTAGTTGGTAAAATACTCGTAATGGTCGTTCTGCATTACAGTTCTTCAACCATTTGATGGATACGATCTTTTCTAAAATAAATAAAAAGAAAGAATAAATACAAATATGGAACTCTTAGGTGTCTAAATTGTTTGGGCATCTCAAATAGATATGTAGTGTTTTTCGTTTCTCGTTTGTTTCTCGTTTGTTATATAGATTAGACCGTTGGTTTTACTGGTTGAATGGTTTTACACTAGTCATTTTTGGGGCCCTTTATAGGTTGCTGTTCGGTATGAGCCACGGCTCCGTGTGGCAGGCCTTACTTTGACCATAATAGTTTACTTTTTACACATTGTGACTTGGACGGAGAGTAGTCTCATTGGCACTCATCTTCTAATTTCTATAATTAATGAACGGGGTTATTAAAACTAATTAAAAACTGTCTATGCATACATTACAGAAATACATCACAACTGACTTAGATATTCAAACAAACATACTAAAAGTATAACATAGACACGAACAAAAAAGCTTGTATTTGTTCTTTATCTCAAAATTACGTATAGATACATATGAGGTTAAAAGTTTAAAAAGTACTTTACCACATTATTACTAATAGATATTTGAGGTTAAGAGTAAAGGTCAGAGTCTCAATATAACTAATAGATTGTATAGGTATAATCAGTATTTAATGGTTTGTAATCCAATGTTTATTATTGATGAACATATAGATGTTTATAAACCAGTACATAATGGTGAGCCATCCCCTATTTATTATGGGTTTAACTATAGGTGGTAATAGAAAAGTATATAACGGTTTGCCCTCTCCTGTTTATTATGGGTGTACATATAGGTGGGAATGCATCAGTATTTATCGGTTTGCCCTCCCATGTTTGTTACAGGTGTAAATATAGATAATTATCAATCTGTTTATGACGGTTTACACTCCCCCTGTTTATCATTGGTGTCAAAATAGATGGCAATACAACAATTTATGATAGTAAGCCCTTTCCTGTCTATTATCGGTGTTAAAAGAGGGGCTTATAAGTCGGCACATAACAGTTTGCCTTCCCAAGTTCATTAGGGGTGTAAATATAATTTAAAATTATAAATTTTTGCCCTCCCATGTTTACTATGGATCTAAATATAGGTTCTAATGAATAAGTTTATAGTGGATCGCACTCCAATGTGTATTATGGGTTAACCTATAGGTGGTAATTATTAAGTATTTAAAAGTTTGCTCTCCCCTGTTTGTTATGAGTGGAAATATAGGTGGAAATACTTTAGCATATAACGGTTCACCCTAAAATGTCTATTATGTACATTCCAATGGGGACTAACTCTGCATCACTTATTGCGGACCTGTTTCTGTATTGTTTTGAGTTACAATTTATGACTAAAATCAGCAAACTAGTCAAAACAGTTATTAAATGTTATCATAGATACAATGAAATCATTCGTAAATATAAATCAACATGCAGACATCTTAAAGGTTTGGGTATTTCACATCCAATCTTTAAAGGTAATATCTCTACAAAACACAAAAATGTCGGCATTTACCTCAAAACTTAACCAAACCTTTAAACAGACTTATTCAGAAGGTCCGAGTACACAGTTACAAATATAGTCCTTAGTGTGAACAGTTTGTTACTTGCCAGTCTTTTTATACCCCTTCCAAATTTATTTCTCCATGTTTTATGCCTGAAATAGCAAGTAGGGGGATAAAATTACACTGTAAACAAATCTGGGTCATGAATTTTAAAGTAAAGTAGTGATTTGGTCCAGCTGAAAAAGTTTTAAAATAAGCACTTCGGAAGCTGTCAAAAGATTTCAACACCCCCTTAACATAAAGTTGTCCATATTTTGAGTTAGAGCCGATGAAGTTTTCTATAATTTTGATATAATTTGTCCCAAAAGTAGTACAACACACTGTAAAAATATTATTGAGAAAGCGCAGGTGGGATTTTTTAAATTTACATTTATTGTCTGAAAGAAATGCACTACGAAATAACTGTGTTCTCGGACCAGAAGGGATATAGTTACAATACTGTTGTCAGGTCATTAAAGATGGCATATTTTCGTATCAATATTGATTCACTCATAGGGTCTTTGCATCGAAAATAAACACATTTATTCTAAAACCAGTTGTTGGCATGATACGGATTATGTTCTTCTCATATAGTTTATGATTGTATGATACTAAACCCTTAGCGAGAGAGACTGCTAGTAATCCTTTGTTGATTTATGCATCATTGTCATTTTGCTTAGTTTCTTTCGTTACCTATTCTCGGACTTCTATTGAACTGAGTTTTACTGTGCGTATTGCTGTGTATTGAGATCTCACAAAACATATTTAACCCCGCCGCATTTTTGCGCCTGTCCCAAGTCAGGAGCCTCTGACCTTTGTTAGTCTTGTATGTATTTTAATTGTAGTTCAATCATATGTTTTGGAGTTTAGTGTGACGTCCATTTTCACTAGTACACATTTTGTTTAGGGGCAAGATAAAGCCCGCCTCCGGGTGAGGAATTTTCTCGCTGTGTTAAAGACCCATTTGAGGGCTTTCGGCTGCGTTTTGCACTTTGGTCGGGTTATTGTCTCTATGACCCATTCCCTATTTTCATTCTCAATTGTATGACGTTTATGTTTATTATTATGGGTGGAAATAAAGGTGTTTATGGTCATTCTTTATTACAGTTATCCAACAAAGTAACATGCTCCTGTTATTCTAAAAGAAGGAAAAAAGAATATCAGGGTTGTTTGGAGTCACCCCAAATTAAAACACAGGCGTATATGAATTAGTTTATAGTGGTTCTCCCTCCGATGTGTATTATGGGTGAACTTATAGGTGGTAATCATTAAGTATATAACAGTTCGCCCTCCCCTGTTTATTATGAATGTAAATATAAGTGGAAATACTTCAGTATATAACGGTTCACTCTCCAATTTTTATTATGTACATAACGTTTACTTTTCTTACTATTGAAGTACATAAAGGTATTCATGATCATTATTAATTACATTTATCCAACAAAGTAACATGCTTCTGTTATTCTAAAAGAAGGAAGAAAGAATATCAGTGTTGTTTGGAGTCACCCCAAATTAAAAAAAGAACACGCATATATGTTAACGGTCGAACCGCGTATTTGTTTCACAAACTTTGCTTTCGTTTCCACCAGAACACTTTTTGTTTTTGCTGTAGATAATAATACTAGCCTAAGGACAACTAAGCACAATCATTTGAACAGACGATCGTTACTGGTGTTTCAATTTTTTCAAATTGGTTTTCGAATATGTGTTATGGGTTTCTTTTCATATTGCAGTTGAAATGCTTATATTTGTCCTTTACTTTACCCCATTTAATCTATTTCAATTTCTGAACAATACCAGACGAGCGTTTATGATTTCTATGTGCACGTAGTAATTTAATGTAATGCTTCTTGTTTTCCATTGCTTTGGCATTACACTGTTAAACAAACAACATTTATGTTGATAGAATTTCTAGATCAAAATGTTTTAATAGATTGATATATCACGACTTTAATTATCTATAAACCCAGATTTAACACATCATTTTCTGTAAAAAAATGCCTGTACCAAGTCAGAAACAGTGTTGTTTTTCACCTGTTCCGTTGATGGATGGTTTAATTTTGTCAGTTTTTATAGACTTCCCCTTTTTGAATTTGTCTAGGTGTTCAGTATGTTTGTTTAACTTTTTAACTCATAAATTTACTTATATTTTTAATTAGTTTTTAAGACAAATTTGAATATCATTTTACCTTCATCTTCAAAAAAAGAACTGAGAAGCAACAACACTTACCCACATTTCTTACAATCACTGAAAAGGTAAAATGATTTACAATAACTATGATAACTATACTGTACTGATACTAATATATATGTGAAATGTCAGTATAAATTTTGTCCTTGGTTTTCTGTGTTTTGTCATCTGTACTATTATTTGTCTGTTTGTCTTTTTATGTTTGGCCATGGCGTTTTAAGTTTGTTTTCGATCTATGAGTTTGAATGTCCCTCTGGTATCTTTCGTCCCTCTTTTTTGTACGTAAAATATTATTCAATATTTCGAATATGCCATTGGTCATATACAAGTATATCTCTATCTGACGGTTTGAAGAAAAACCTCTTCTGAAGAGAACATCATCAGTTTTCAAAGGCAGTTCAGTTTAATTTTTAAGCAAATATAATAGTAAGCAATGAATTTAAGAAAAGTATATCAAAGGTTGTATATAAGGTATATCTTCTACAATAGGTCATTAGTTGTCTATCTCAGTTTTGATCGACGATTTTATTTTCAAAATTCTGTGTTTCCTCAATTTAGTATTGTGTGTTTATTCACTGATTAAGTTTTAGGCAAAATAAAGAAGGAAATTTTTATCTACAATTCCTTCAATTGATTTGGCTTTTAAATGATTTAAGCAATTTTTAGATCGACGAACCACTGTTGCCTTTATTGATTGATTGATTGATTTTTAGTTTTTAAACGCCACTTTTAAGCACCGCTTTTTGGCTATGTCGTGGCGTCCAGTTTTTATTGGTGGAGGAAGCCGGAGTGCCCGGAGAAAACCACCGACCTTCGATAGGAAAACTGACAATCCTAGTCAATTAAGATTGGAGTCGAGTGCACCCGCACAAGCGGGGTTCGAACTCACAACCTCAGTGTTGACTGGCTAGTGATTACAGTAGTAACTACTTAGACCACTCTGTTGCCTTTATTTAACAGGCTGCAATTGCTGTTTTTCTAAAGAAGTTAAATCAAACAGAGTAGGTTCGTTATAACAACTTATTTTCTTGTTTGTTTCAACGTCTAATATTTCAAAATAGTAATAACAGTTAGTACGCATAAAGTATATTATTGACTAATATAAAACATAAGTTGTTGTAATGTCCTTAAATAAATACGTCGTTTGAAGAAAGAACATTAGCATTAAAAAAGCTCCAAATCATAACCTGTAATGTAAATACTTATTAGTAATCATTGCCATAACATAACAATACTTACAGAAACTGTCGCCTGTAAAAGACCATAGAATAACTTAAAGTAATTGTACAGAGTGATACTTAATGAGTAAATAATTTAGGAATTAAATCAAAACAAAAAAAGGAAGACTAATCAATCTTTGATTTTAAGATTTTAAAAAATCAAGCAGAAATAGGTAAGCTTAAATTAGGAGAAGAACTCGATTTAAAATAAACAACTTTTGGTCATCTATCTACTTCTTGTTATTAACTAAAACTTTGAAAGAAGGACCTAATTATAACCATGTACAATCAGATGCATGTCACTGTTCATTAAAAAACTTTCTACTGTTTTAACTGACTAATTGATGGTTGGATTTCTGATACATTACATAATGAAAACATGGAAATATTTTCTGATATTTCGCAGTGTATATACTATTAACTTAAAGCTTAAGTAGCCTGAGTTCCTATTACTTCGGAGATTTTTTTCATTATATTTTCTTTAAATCTTGTCCTAACAACCTTAACGGTAGCAAACTTTACTGCACTAGATGACGTTTTGCACCAGATGCACTAGATTAACATTTTAACGGATAGTAGATACGATTTTCATTATAATTATTTTTTGTCGTGTTTTGTTCAAAAAGTTAATTCAGTATTGATTAAACTATCGCTGTTTACTTTCCATCTAGCATTTTGAAGATTTTTTACAGTTTTACACCTGAAATAATTTTTTGTCCACCAGACAAAAGTTCGACGTCAAGACCCATATCCATATCACGTAATGGCCATTAATTAGGCAGTCATCACTGCGCAATCGCACATTGTCCATCGAAGAGAAATGTCGAACTGTAGAACGTTATCGCGGGAAATGAAACGTAGATTGACAGTTTGTGTGAGAAAAAGGACGAGAAAAGTGGTGCCGATAAGTTATTGTAAATTTAAAATAAAAAACGGCGAAAAGATCCGTCATTATCCTGCCATGCGAGCAAAGTCACACAGAAGTTGCTAACTATACGACGGTTTGCGAAATATTTACATTTCTAAATCAATCCCGATCACATGAGAAGAAATCATACCATGTTCAAATTGTTATTGTCCAAAATACTTTTTTTTAGCCAACTTATAAAAAAGGAAAAAAAATAACAGTTTGATACTATTTTTCTGGTGTATCCATCACTAACGCCTCAATTTAATCCCAAACACGTGTATATGTTTTCGGCTTTGTTTGTTGTACAACAGTAAATAATATACAGCTGTTGTTATATATTGTTTTATTGTTATATTTACATAATTTGATAAATGAAATCAAATATGTAAGTTTAATTAAATGAGAATAAAAGTCACGCAACACGATATTTTTTATGAATTATAAACACTCCTGTAATTTATGTAAACTTTGCAGCGATCGTATTGTGAATTTAAGTTACATATATCTTCGGCAATGCTGTAGTTTAAAATTTAAAACAAAGTGCTGATGAAACGAGAAATGTACAATAGACAAAAGCCAAACTCAGATTGTGTTGGTTTTGTCAGATGAACATATACACTACGTCAGTGCTTATCTAATACAAATGTACCAGTACTTCAATTCCAAAACATAGACTTAGAAATAGTACAACCGACTAAATTATTGACAATGAAGATTTGATATCTCAATGAGTATTTGAATTTACACCTGGAATATCATGGTAAAACGTTATAATATAAGGACTCACTATAAAGATACCAGACATGCTTCGTTAGTTTGCTACGCATGATCAGTGGTGCTCAAATAACAATTTTACAAGAGTCATTTTAACACAAAGTTAAAGAGCATAAGCAACCAAAAACTCAGATAAGTTCTACAAATACGACTTAGGTTATAAATGCATATGTGTCTTTTTATGTTGTAATGTTACACTACTGTTTAAGGTTGTGGTGAAGGTTGACGCCTGTTAAAACGTTTACACCCGCTGCATTTGTGCTAAGGTCAGGAGCCTGGTCAGTGGTTGTCGTTTGTTGATGTGGTTCATAAGTGTTTCTCGTTTTTTGTTTTTTATATAGATTAAAACGTTGGTTTTCCTGTTTGAATTGTTTTACACAAGTCATGTTGGGGCCCTTTATAGCTTGCTGTTCGGTGTGAGCTAAGACCGTACTTTACCTATAGTTTTCTACTTTTTACAAATTGTGACTTGGATGAAGAGTTGTGTAATTAGCACTCATACCACATCTTCTTATTTCTATATAAGTGTAGAAAATCCTTATAATATTAAAAGATATGAAACCGATCATATAACATGTATAAGAACACATGTCACGAGAAACAGGATCAACAATGAAAATCGAGATATTTAAAAACCAACCCAATAAAATATTTTAAAGGTAAGACATAAATAACTCCCCAAAACAATGTTGATGTATATATATATCCTAATAGAAAGTGATATAAATACTCCAGATCAAAAAACATTTTTTTTATAATGTATGCCTGTAAAGAACATCATTATTCTGTTTTGAAATATATCCCCGCGACGCGGTTTGGCTTACCCCGTTATTAATGCATAAGTGTAGGAATTCCTTAGAATATTAAACAAATATGAAACCGATCATATAAGAAAACATGTCACGTGATACAGGATCAACAATGAAATTCCACAAATTTAAAACCAACTAAATAAAATACATAAACATTAAGACACTTAATAACTCTACAAAACATGTTAACAGCAGTTAGTGATATAAATTTTCTAGAAAGAAAAAAAATATGTATTGGGATTGTAGGTCTATTAAAGAACATCATTCTTCCTTTTTGAAATATAATAACGAGGCAAAATATGTTTTATCCCATGGGAGGTTATCTATCAATAAAAACAGTATGAGAGCATTCATCTGACGGCAAACAGGAATATGTTTGCCATGTCCGAACATATAATCTTTACATACATAACATAGTTAATGAATCGCGTTTTTACTGCTGTTCTCAATCTCAGTGTTACTTCTCTGCTTTCAACACAACCTTAAAGCATATACCTTTATATACGTTCAATTAATATGTCCTTTGATTGGTGATTTTTGTAATTAATATACTGTCTAATTTTGTATCTTCAATTTTAATTTATAAATAGTCCTATTCCATACTCTACACCCTTTGCATTCAATTGTTTCCCATCATTAAAGACGTATGTCACAAATACATCGTGTAGTTTTTGCTCCATTTCTTCAGTTTGTCTCAAAATGAAATATCATTCATTTACAACAATATACGTGAAAAAAGATTGATAAACAACAAACCATTTTCAAAACTTATACCAGGGTGATTATATTGATTTGGACAGATTAACTTAACATTTTATGTCAATGCAGTATTATAAAATACATACTTCTCATAATTAAATGCAATGTTTGATACTGACCTAAATCAAGAACCTTTGACATTTTGAAAGTTGCTTATCATGAAAAGTTTGGTTTACATATGTACTCCAAGGTTTCAAATATTTGATTGCCTTTATTTTATCTAGTATGGATATGTATTTCATTCACATGATACATCCATTTACCATTCCTACCGTGATGGGAACAAAACTAATTTGGCTACTTAATACTAATTATCATTCACTGTCATATGAATTCAATCTAATGGTCTTTTTAATTAAGGTAACTATGGAATGACATTAATCTGTGATGAAATCATTTAACAAACATGATTCCTGACAACATGTTAAAAATGAAGTTTTATCGTCAGGCAAATATCAACAGACTCAATATAAAAGTGACTGATTAATGTATAATGTAAAATTGCACCACCTTAGCAACTATGATTGTCTGTAGTTTAAACAAAGGGTTAAACTCACATCACGTTAACAACATATACTGGTTAAATGTAAAGCTGTAACTCTCTAACGTAAAGTGAACCCTTGGTTTTGCTCTTTTGAATTGTGTTAGATTTTGTTATGTCGGACCTTTATTCTTACTAAACAGTATGGGATTTGCTCATTGACCTATAGTTGCGTGCATTTACTTAATTTGGTATCTGGCGAATAGTTGTCCAATTGCCAATTATACCACATTGTCTCATCTTTATATTAAGCACTCTCGTTGTTTGTTATTGTTTTTGTTTTTGTCAATCTAACATTTGATGCAGTTAAGCGTGATGTGTATTGCCTTGTCTGAAATTTGTTAGTGTTATGATATTGTAATTATCAAGTTATTGTTTTTGACCTAATTTGTTGTGTGTTGGCCAATAAGATGTTTACATAATTGGGTTGTTCACCATTTATAGTTGCTTACAAAAAATGTTTAGAAATCACTTGATCAAACATTGATATTGATGGAATTATGAGCACTTTCTATTTGACTTGCATAATGATTCAAGAATGATCATAATCTACGATGCATTTTTTAAACTTCTAGAATGTTCTAGAAGTTTCCGTAGTAACCATATATTCATACACCAAACTTAGACTTATAGAGACATTGATATATACGTATTCTTAGAAGTTCTTTGTAGTTGTTGGATTGACACTTTTATTTACAAACAATATCATACTAGTTTGTGAACTTATTGAAGATAATATTCCGTTTGGATTCCGAAACAGTTAGGAGAAGAATTCCGGATAAAGACTAGGATCGGACATTTTTACAGTTAAGTTGACATTTCATTTTGTATAATATTTTTAATAAAATTGTATAATAAATCTTGCTAAATTTATCATTGATGTTTGTCATTTGTTGGCTATGATTTAAAGGTGATTTCTGGCAATACAGTAATCTGTGTAATCGACTTTTGATATGCGGACGGAAACATGATGCAAAGGTCATTGTTGTTATCCAAGAAAGTTGTGACCGCATTGGCAATCGTAGGTTAAATAAAAAGAAAATTCTCATAGGCAAAGCAATTAATTATCAAACATTGTCCAAATACAGTAAATAGTGCACAAGACATAACCATCAACATGATTAAATAAACTATCGTGTACACGTTAACCCTGCGTAGATTTATAAAGGTTCCTTGGATAGGTAATCCAACTCCATTTTGGTACCCCTGCCTTGTAACGCATTAAAATGCAGATGACAAAGAAAAATATGAAACCAAAACAATACCTAGATGTTTTGGAAACACACTTACAGTCCTGTCTGCAAAAACGGTTGCAAGCTCAATATGTGAAAGACTTTAGAAAAAAGTCTTTATAACTGTTATTTTTACGATTTTTTTGAAGTTAAAATCCCGTGATTTCGGCAAAAATCAGTGGAGCGGAACCAAATGTAAACTTGATCTGTAACTCATCACAATAGACTAACAAACTAAAAATTAGCTCTATATGTGAAGGGGTTTAGGAACAAAGTCTATATATAGTTCGTTGTTGAATGAAGGAATGATGGAATGACATACAAGGATTATACTTTATGGCCCCGATGTTTCTCAGTAGTACATGTATCGATTAGTTTTTGATTATAACATGAACAGTATTAATAAGGGACACTGTAAACCTTTCGGAGTTTGAACATTATGGTCCAAAACATCATGTGAAAATAATGTTTTTGTTCAGACCTAGTTACGATCAGATACAAGATTGACTCAGATATAATCATACAACGAATGTCTTAACAAAGAAAAATGGAAATATATACTTAGTTACTGCTACAATAAACAGAAAGACATTCACATTAAATTTATTAAACAGTAACTGTCGTAATCAATCAAGTAAAATGTATGAGATAATGCAAATACAGTAAAATACCATTAAAAGAAAAATGTAATGTTATTTCTAAAAAAATACTGATATAAACTAAGCATGTTAAGAACGGCAAAGTATATTTGGAATACTATATTCGACAAAATTTCCTCGCATGCTTCAAGGAAAACGTTTGATAACGATACTCATTAAATGTCATCAAGAACACTTGACTAAAATAAAATGACCTTTTAATAATGGTTGCAAGTTACTGGATCATGTTGTCTTTGATACAAACATAAGATATGTATTTAACAGGAAAGTTTATCCGAAAATGGTATGAGACGGTGTCAAACTGAAATAACGAAAGATCATACGTTATTGTTAACAAGAAGGTACAACGAAAGTAGAAAGCTTACACTTAATGACCTTTTGTTCAAATTTTTAAATAATAATCCTTAACATCCTAATGTTTGACACGATTACACTTTTATTTAAAAGATATAATAGATTTAAAGTAACTATGTTGATAAGAAGAACTTCATCAGGTTTGTATAGTTAAGGCACATCGATGTTATGCTGGTACCGTTAGTGTTTGAACTACGATATACTACTGTTGCCTTTATTTATTCCATGTGTATTCATATATTACCACGAACCAACATTCATCCTGGCATACAGAGATGCCAGTGAATGATTTGTTTTATTGAATGGCTGCATTACGGCTTTAGCTATATAGCAAAAATATCTAAAGCAAATAAAAGAAGTGGAGTAGTGATCTAAGGTAAAAGTTTCGTTTGGACTTCTAGTCACTTACATCAACAGTGAGGTTTGATAAGGGCCGTGTGTTTTGATATTATTTTCTAAACGGAACACGGAGCATTTCCTTATAAACCTGTGAACCAATAACAGATTGAATTTTGATATTTTATATACAACCATGGCTCACCGTTAGACGTTGTTCACCATACATTTCAACTAACGAATAAAAAATATATAAGTCAACAATGACCTGAAATGTGACATTCTGATATTAAAGACTAAAAGCAACAAATCACGAAAATAAAAAGAATTGACAATACAAATAAATGAAAAAGATATACCACATCTTCACGAATATCCTCAGACTTAACAAACCGTATTCCAAACATAAATTAAACTACAGCCAATCGGAATTCGCCTTCTTAAGTCAGCGGTTTTCTAAATTATGACAAAGGAGGCAATGTCTCTGCAGAAAGATTATTTAACAAAAAGCAAGTGGGTATCAACAAATATTCCCGTGCAATGCCAGCAAATGGCAAATCTACTCTCGATTATTTTCGAATACTACTGTAAGGCAATCAGTGAATAAAAGAGCCTTTTTGCTCATTCCCTGTGACATAACTTGAAAACCCAAAACCTCATTTATCTAGTGAATTTAATCAATCAACGTGTGGTTTTTGATATATAGAACTAACGGGATGGGCATTTTTAAGCGAACGTCTTAACATCCACCAACAACCTAAGAAAGCACAAACCCAATATTAGGTTTAGAAATTCCAACCAATCAACCCGTTCAAAATTATCAAAAGACAATAAAATTAAAAATTAAATGATTCCCCTTGAAACTGCGAACTTATATTAAACTACATACAATAATTTAACTCGGTCTTCACGAAGCAATATAGAGGATATTCGAATATCACATTTTGAAAATAATTTAGAAATTAATAAAGTGTTACCTCATACGTCCATTTCTAGAACTAGGAAATAATTCAAAGACTCGAAAATTGTTTGTGTTTGTAACAGCCGACATAGTTGAAATAAAATGTAACATTGACGTTGATGCATCATTTAAGTTCTTAAGAATAAAATTATTAATTATTTTACATTTAAAACCATGCTCTCCACAGAGAGTAGAACATTGAAAAAGTAAAATAAACGAAACACGAACTCCAAGGCAAATCCAAAAAGGAGAAGTCCATAAAAACTGACAAAATCAAACATTTGACTTTTTCATGAATATGACAGTTGTTTTCCATTCGTTTGATGTGTTTGAGCTTTTGATTTGCGATATTATAAAGGACTTTCCGTTTAGAATTTCATTTGGATTTCGATATTTTTGTTATTTTACTTTTTCACTGGTGGATATTTATCTCATTCACATCTACTTTTTTATATTTATATAGCATGTATATATATACAATTATTTATATTCATAACAATAAGACAACTTGTTTAGGTATAGAGATTATATTTGTCCTATTTACGTAAAGGTTTTTAATTACAAATAGTCATTAAATGGTTAAGAGCAGTCTAATATCTGAAATTAGAAACCAAAATACATGCATGCTTATACTTTAAAACAACATTGTATACTGTTTAAGCCCAAAAATACGCGTAACGTTTAAAAAAACTTTTACGACAATATGAACACATGTAACGTAGATTGTTGCCATATTAAATTGATAATTGTTAGAATCAATCTGAATAATATTGTTATTGGTTTTATTTATGTGCGCATCGTTACTCGAAACACAAGCAACATAGCTATTCATCAGTGATGGTATAGATAAAAACATATATACTTAAATGAATTAGAAGGCATCCACAACATGATCAATCAGAATGCATTGTTGGATTGCATTAGTTGGTTGTGCAAGTAACGAAATGGAGATTGTTGATGTTTTCATTGACAAGGTTCAATAAAAAAATCAAATGCTGGATGAGCCACAATAACAATGCAACAACACAATTTAAAGTGTTATTTGCTTGCAAAGATTAAGATATTATTTTTATCTAAAAACGAACACACACCGATTAAGTCTATCGAATAAATCTTATATTGTGAAATAAATGTATACCGTTTATTCAAATGCAATGATGTTGCATCGATGATTCTGATTGAATGACAATCTTCGTTAAATTCTCATTCAACGTGTGTACCTAACAGAGTCCACCAGTTTCAATTCCAGAATTTACTGATAAGTGTCTTCTTTGATAATAATCAAAATATTTACAATTTTCACGTACAAATCTTTTTTTTTCAACCATTCTTACGCTGATATATGATGTCATACTTTTTAGATGCAACAAAAGGGACCATTGTATCGCGTAGTATGGATTTACGCTTGAGGCTTGGTCTACTTAAAACTTTCGTCACCAGGTTAACATTTCACGTAGCCAAGCTTCGCATTAAACACAGTTATAACTTTATTCTGATACACGCTTGTCGTGCATTGAATTTAGAAATAATTCATGGCAGCCGTAGATTTGATTTCATTTAACCATGGGTTGGGCATTTATAATTGATTATTTTATCCCGAGCGATAGCGAGGTGTCAACGACGTTTATTATGAAAAAAACAAAACCGGTCGCTATTGTTGATCGTATTTAATTCTATTGCGCACTGTATATAATCCTCTGAAGAATGAGTACACCGGAATAAAGGAAGATAACTCAATTTTAATTCAAGATATGTCTACATACTTCTGACATAATTTATAGGTTTAGGAGGTCTATTGAGTTATGGGCAAATTTAAGAGGGTCTTGGTAGCAGGATGGGTTAGGTCCTTGGGTCATCATTTTCTGTATTCTTTATTTTTGATACAAATATTTTACTGTTCTGTATATCTAAACACACATTATTTTCTAGTAGTCATTTAATATTTGTTTTTTTTTTATTCTTTTTTTTTTTTTTATTTAAAAACATTTTCTCTATTATCATAATTATGAAGCATATACAGACCATAAGCTAAGTATAAGGACTGGAACATTGATCAATAGTCATTATTTAAGTCCCAGTAGTCACTGTTTGAAGACATAAACATTCAAATAAAAACATGCAATACGCTGTTTTGTGGAACAACAGCTGCTTTGTTTTTATCTTTATTGTTATAGTTTTATTGTATACGTATCCTTATGAAATACTGACAAAGAATAGAAAAGTACACCTTTTTTCATGTATATAAACCCTATGCTTTAACTTCCTTAGTCTATCATGTTAAATGATGTACAGTGCATAAGAAAGAAAGTTAAATTGAAATTGAAAATGATTTCAATTTAGGTAGAGGAAATCAAGACGATAGTTGGCTCCAAGTTTTCAAAACTGGCAACAAAGTATACCAGCTGGCGATTTTTATGGCGCCATCTTATTTGGAGCCAGAAAATCCCCTGTGATGGTTAAGTATGCAGATATAACTGATTATAAATGCATTCTTAATTGTTCATTTTATGAATATGTACCGATAAAACTAGTAGCATTATCTCCAGGGCTCGAATAATTTATTTTGATTTTATAGAAATTCCCTATATAAGTTTTATTTATATGTAAAAATTATTACATGTTTTAGTATTAAAAATAAAACGTTTGAAAAAAACGGTTTTTTGTTAACACTAAATTAATTCATGAGCCAAAAAAAAAATCTTTTGTGGGTAAAGAAAATACAGTGAATCTTCAATGGTTTCATTTCAGAAGGTATAACAAACAAATATCAAGACTTAATATGCGTGAAGATCGAGCATAACAATATACAACAACAAAAAATTAAATAGAATTGAGAATGTCTTCCATGATCGAAAAGTAAGAGGCATCAAGAGAAAAAGTATAAAGCAGGCACAAAAATGTGTTATGGTATTACACAAATTAAAAATGAAATATAAAGTCTTCATCTATGATTGTTCGCGCCACAGAGAGTCAAACAGTACACAATCATAGCATTAACATATATCAACCTAAGGACCCTTCTGAACAAATAAATAGGGAATCGTATGAACTCAAAAAGCAAAAAAAGAAGAGAGTCCGGGTCCGTCGACAGGGTAAATGTCTATGCATGCATCACCTACCATGCTACTCCACAATCAGTCAACATGTTACAATTATATGGCTGTTCCAAGCTAGGACCCTTTATTTCAGGAGGTTTCATTAGTTGCTTTCTATCATAATAGTTTTTCGATACTGTTTTGCAGTTAAATCAGAAAATTTTCACTTGCTCAACTTGTCACTCCCGTTGTGTAACTCAAATTAAAGTCCAATGATAGATCATGCAAGGTAGCATGCGAACAAGATTATATTCATTCTTAAGTAAAACAATTTTAACTTAAAATTGTAGTTTTATTTGTTTAACAAAATTAATAGGTTGTACAAAATATGTTTGATTGACGTCAATGAGACAAGACCGCAACGATTAAAATAAGAATTAAAAAATCATTTAGATATTAATATACACTTTCAGCCGAAATTACACAATATGTTAGACAATAAGGTTTGTGTGTTGTGTATGATAATGCGAGTATAGAAAGAAATCACATTTAAAACTTTTAATCCAAAGGTATTTATCATATTTTAAAAGTTCTTTTCAGTTATTTCTTAAAACAAATCAAATGGACATAAGTAAATGAACAGGTAATAAATTGAATAAAAGGGAATTTTATAGTTTCTTCTACACATTTATCGTTGTATCCTTATAGTAAATGAATAGATACCAATCAATATCCATTATTTATAAAGGTAAGCTTTTATGTATCCTTTCAAAATCCTCATGAAAAAAGTCGCCTGATTGTAAAGAAATCATTTTGTTTGCCAAGTTGCGTTTTTTTGGTTGATTGTTCATGTTCCCCCTTTTTTTTTGTTTCATAGAAAAAAAGATTTATTTAAAGGTTATACAATACTTGGTCATGTTATATGAATATGTCAAGCCCAAGATGTAGCTGATGGTTTTAAATGTTCATAAAACATCACCAAGTATTGTCTGGCCAATTTATGACATATTCGTGCATTTGAGTGGCATTAGACATTCATCCTTTTCCCTTGGAATAAATCAAATCCTAGTATGAGTTCACTTTAAAGTATAAACATGGTTAATAATAGGGATGTAAACCATATGTAATGATCGAATAAAATAGAACGGAGATAGTTTTGTAAGCAAAAAAATGATACATTGTTTACAGCTGAAGATTATTTGTCTTCTTCGATGAAATTTAATACTATTATATCTCAAATTCCTTTACTAAGAAACCCTACACAAATGTTAGACAATAAGGTTTGTGTGTTGTATATGATAATGCGAGTATAGAAAGAAATCACATTTATAACTTTTAATCCAAAGGTATTTATCATATTTTAAAAGTTCTTTTCAGTTATTTCTTAAAACAAATCAAATGGACATAAGTTCAAACATCAGATGTTTGCGTTTTTTTTTTAATAATTAATGTATAAAATAAATGTATTGTTTTTTCCTTTGCTGTATATATTAACAGTTATTGTATCTTAAAACAAAATAGCATTGACTCTAGGGTCTGGTATAATCCAATGATTAAGCATTATTTTACCTTCACCTTTTCACCTTTTCATTGATTCCCTTCCGTAAATGTACCATATATAACGTTTGCAATATTCAAAACTAAATTTTTAAATGCTTTAGTAATTCTATGCTCTTGTTGTCATTTATAATGATTAGACAAACTCGTGTACCCATGATTGATTTTCCTTTGCTGTTTTCCTAGGGGATTGTACTCTTCGTTAAGGCAGTTATTAAGAGTACGCTATCAAAATTAAACTACAAATCATTTATGTACAGCATTTTAAAGTGCATGCAAAGCCAAAAAAAAATGGTGTTCCATTGGACGAAAAGGGGTGGTTATGTTCGTAATGAAAAACTCACCAATTATAATATTCTAATTTAATACCAGACGCGCGTTTTGTCTCCCGAAGACTTCATATCTTCAAATCATTCATATCTGACCATGTACAGCATGTACAATGACTAGTAGACCTTTGTTAGTAATTCTAATAAATTTGAAAACAAATTGTTAAATTCATTTTAAACATAGACCATTATAGTTGTCTTTGTGTTACACGATTATATTTTGATCATCTATTTTTATGTTTGATAGTAGTACATGTATCGATTGAACGAACAGTATTAAGAGATGACACTGTAACTCGTTCTGAGTTTCAACATTATGGTCCAAATAATCATGTCAAAATAATGTTTGTTAAGACCTTGTTACAATCGGATACCATATTAACACTGATATAACTTTACAACGAATATCTAAAGAAAGAAAAATGAAAAATCTATACTTACCCACCAAAGCTACAATAAATAGAAAAACATTCAAATTTAATTTATTAAACAGTAACTGTCGTAATCAATCAAGTAAAATGTATAAGATAATACAAATACAGTAAAATACCAAGGAAGGGACATTTAATGTTATTTCTGAAGAAAAAAAAACAATACATAAAAAATATAAAGACCGTAAAATTATATTTGAAATACTAACTTCAAAAACATTTCCTCGCACGCTTCAAGGAAAACGTTTGATAAGGATACTCATTTAATATGTTTAAGAACACTTGACCTAAATAAAAAATCAAACAACAAAAATATCGAACGGAAAGCCCTTTACAATTGGCAAAATCAAAAGCTGAAACACATCAAACGAATGGAAAACAACTGTCATATTCCTGACATGGTACATCAACTTTTTTGCTTAGACACTGATGACGTTTTACAAAGTCTGAGTTGCAGCTGCAATATCTTGAATACTGAATGAGTTGGGAAAGGTCTATCCCATATGCAGGTGCAGTTGGTATATTGCTACTAAGGTGGAGGAAATTGATAATTTCAAAATTAAAATCGTCTCGTTTGTCATAGATTCTGGTACCGAGAAGACCGCTGATGTCAAATTTGAGTTTTAAGTCTAAAAATTACTCTTTATAAATGGTTGTCAGTTAATGGATCATGTTGTCTTTAATACAAACATATGGTATGTTTACGCAAAGGTACAACGAAACCAGAAAAATTACACTTGATGAATTTCCGTTCAAATAGTTACATAAAAATCCTTAACATGCTCATTTTTGAACACGATAACACTTAATTTAAAATATATAATTGGTTTAAACTATGAAGTAGTTGTAATTTAATGAGTGTAGTACTTTGGGTCTGTAATGTTACAATTCTTGCTTTGTTAAGAAGCTATGTTGATAAGCCTCATATCTACAAAGGTTCGTGTAGTTAATTTGAGTGTAACAGGATGCACATCGATGTTATGCAGGTATCGTTAATGTTATTGAATTGATATACTTATAATATCACGAATCAATATTCATCTTGATATACGGAGAAGCCAGTACATTATGTTTTGATTGAATCAAATAAAAGAAGTGGAGTAGTGATCTATGTGAGGTTTGATAAGGGCCATTCTGTTTTGTTATTATTTTTTAATTCGAAACATGGAGCATATCCTTATATACCTGTGAACCAATAACAGGTTGATTTTGATATTTTCGATACAACCACAGCTAATAGACGTTGATCAATAAACGTTTCAACTAACGAATATAAATGTATAAGTCAACAATGACCTGAAATGTGACTTATCAAATCATTTTGAGACATTCTTATATTAAAGACTTAAAGCAACTAACGACGAAAATAAAAAGAAGTGACAATACAAATAAATGAAAAAGATATACCACAGCTTCACGAATATCCGCAGGCTTAAGAAACCGTATTCCAAACATAAATGCAACTACAGTCAATCGAAATTCGCCTTCTCAAGTCAGCGGTTTTCTAAATTATGACAAAGTAGGCAATGTCTCTCCACAACGATTATTTAACAAAAAGCAAGTGGGTATCAACAAATATTCCCGTGCAATACCAGCAAATGGCAAATCTACTCTGGATTATTTTCGAATACTACTGTATGGCAATCAGTGAATAAAAGAGCCTTTTCGCTCATTCCCTGTGACATAACTTGAAAACCCAAAACCTCATTTATCTAGTAAATTTAACCAATCAACGTGTAGTTTTTAATATGAAGGACAAACGGGATGGGCATTTTTAAGCGAACGTCTTAACATCTACCAACAACCTAAGAAAGCACAAACACAATATTAGATTCAGAAATTTCAACCAATCAAACCGTTCAAAATTATCAAAGACAACAAAATTAAAAATGAAATGATTCCCCTTGAAACTGCGAATTGTCTTATATTAAACTACATACAATAATTTAACTCGGTCTTCACGAATCAATATTGAGGATATTCGAATATCACATTTTGAAAATAATTTAGAAATTAATTAAGTGTTACCTCATACATGTCATACGCCCATTTCTAGAATTAGGAAAAAATTCAAAAACTCGAAAATCGTTTTTGTTTGTAACAACCGAAAAACAAAATGTAACATTGACGTTGACGCATCATTTCAGTTCTTAAGAATAAAATTATTATTAATTTTACATTCAAAACCATGCTCTCCACAGAGAGTAGAACATTGAAAAAGTATAATAAAAGAAACACGAACTCCAAGGCAAACCCAAAAAGGTGAAGTCCATAAAAACTGACAAAATCAAACATTTGACTTTATCAACCAACGGAATGAATGGAAAACAACTGTCATATTCCTGACATTGAACATGCATTTAAAAAAATGGTGGATTACCCTTGGTTATATTGCAAGCTAAACCTCCCACGTGTATGATAGTTGTTTATAGTTCCGTTATATTGACAAATATTAATGAACAACCAAATTAGACGTAACAAGTTAATGCGACAATAATTTTGATCCAGTAGCCAAAACCTTGTTAACTGTCCCATCATTAACCACATTTAGTAAAGATCCGCCCAAATTCCAAATAATTGATAAAGTCAGCTACATTTTGTGTTACCTTTATGCTATTTTGTGCGTTAAATAACCGTCCTTTCTTAGATTTAGATATTTCAGTTGCACACAGGAAACTTTATATAAATATTAACGACGGAAGGGACAGTTTTACATTTCCATTTATTGTTTATACTTTTTTGACGGTGATCTTCCTTTGGCCTTATCTAACGATGATTGTACGTCTTTATTCTTCGCCACGCACGTGTCTGTAATGACGTTATAGATTTCAATGAAAGTAATGTTTGTATCACTGGTATGTTATAATTACGTCAAGGATTTCGTTAAACAAAGCACTTAAAAACTTTACCAAATTCTTTCATCGATACAAATATTAGGTTGAGAAGATTTTCTGTACATGTTATTTATAACAGCATGATACTTTACAACTAACAGGAGGGATTGGAGTTGATTTTACATAAGATGAATAAATAATCTTTTGAATCGTTTAATTGAAGTCAAGAGCTGGCATGTGAATAACTGCTAGTAGACCTTTGTAAATATATATTGATCATTGCCATTTTGCTTATTTTTTTCTGTTACCTATTCTAACATCTGACTCAGACTTCTTCTAAACTGAGTTTAACTGTGCGTGTTGCTGTGTGTGTGTTTACTGCACATTGTCTAGAAGTATAGGGTAAGAATTAGGATCTCAAAAAATATGTTCAACTCCGCTGCATTTTTCTGTAAGTCCTGGAATCTCTAGCCTTTGTTAGTCTTTTGTTGTTTTTTTTTTTTAATCATTTTGGTTGATTTGTATGTTTCCGAAATACATGTAAGAATGGCGTCCATTTCGTTTATTAGTCAATTTTCTTGTTTTAATTTAATGCTCGATTTGAAATTTGTCAGCCTTTTTTCCACGGTTTAATTCACCGTTTTCTACAATATGAAATGTCTGTACCAAGTCATGGATATGACAGTTGTTTTCCTTTCGTTTGATGTGTTTGAGATTTTGATTTGCGATATTATAAAGGACTTTTTCCGTTTTGAATTTCATTTGGATTTCGATATTTTCGTTATTTTACTTTTTCACTGGTGGATATTTATCTCAATTACATCTACTTTTTTTTATATTTATATAGAAGGTATATATATACAATTATTTATAATCATAACAATAAGACAACTTGTTTAGGTATAGAGATTATATTTGTCGTATTTACATAAAGGTGTTTAATTACAAATAGTCATTTAAAAGGTTGAAAGGAGTCTAATATCTGAAATTAGCAACCAAAACACATAGATATAAGAAGATGTGGTATGAGTGCCAATGAGACGACTCTCTATCCAAGTCAAAATTATAAAAGTAAACCATTATAGGTCAAAGTACGGTCTTCAACACGGAGCCTTGGCTCACACCGAACAGCAAGCTATAAAGGTTCCAAAAATTACTAGTGTTAAACCATTAAAACGGAAAACCAACGGTCTAATCTATATAAAAAACGAGAAACGAGATACACTTATGAACCACATCAACAAACGACAACTACTGAACATCAGATTCCTGACTTAGGACAGGTGCAAACAATTGCAGCGGGTTGAAAGTTTTAATGGTAACCAACCTTCACCCTTATCTGAAACAATAGTGTAACATCACAACATAGAAACATGCATGCTTATGTTTTAAAACAACATTGTATACTGTGTAAGCCAATACAATGTGCCATATTAAATTGATAATTGTTATAATCAATCTGGATAATATTGATATCAGTTTTATTTATGATAAGCGTTCTTACTCAAAACATAAGCAACATAGATATTCATCAGTGATGGTACAGATAAAAACATATATACTTAAATGAATTAGAAGGCATCCACAACATGAACAATCAGAATGCATTGCTGGATTGCATTAGTTGGTTGGGCTGGTAATGAAATGGAGATTGTTGATGCTTTCATTGACAAGGATTTTTTTATCAATAAAAAAATCAAATGCTAGATGTGCCACAATAACAATTCAACAACACAATTCAAAGTTGTTATTTGCAAAGATTTAGAATGCACACTATTTTATTTTTAATTCATTAAGTCTATCGAATTAAATCTTATATTGTGAACGCCCGGTGTTTACATTTGATGCGAGAAGCATACCTATGACACCTTGTTTAGTTGCCATGCAAAGACGATAACATCATTTCGCGGAATTTTCGTTTTATGAAAGTTTACACCGAAAAATAAATTGAAATGGACTGATTTGTTTATATTGCATTAGAATAGAGATAACTATATTGTATCTGAATCTTGGCCTACGTAAACTGTTGGTTTTGATGTCGCAAATTGAGGATACAGTGTAGTAAAAATAAGTTGGGCGTAACTCGGAACAGCCAGTTTTGTGTATTTATACGCTTGCGCTAAAAGTAGATATACTGTGATTATATTGGTTCACGATATATACGTCGTCATATTAAAATTCAGGATAACAGTTTGTTGATGAAACAAACTAGGTAAGGATTTAACATCTATCTATTTAAACCATGAGTTATGTCGATAAAACTTTACATTAAAATCAAAGTTGTTTGAAATAAGGATATCCTGATTTTCCTAATTAGTATTTACAAATTACTTTATGATTGCAGTATGTTGCGAAACCAACAGATGGTGGGATCATTTTAAAGACATGTTTTTTTTTTTAATTTCCTGATAAATATTTCAAATTGAGATATTAGTAGATATGACAACTGCTCAACTTATGATGCAGGGACCGCGCTAGGCGTCGCCAATGTCGCAAATTGCGATTTTTTTTTCATCTTGCGACAAAATACGGCTGCTGGCGATATTTTTGGAGCCAACATTTTCCTATGCTAAAATTTTCATTTTTTGACTGTAACGGAATATTATCGATCTTGATTTAAATCAATAGTAAAAGCCAAAAAATAAATTGTAGAAAATTTCACCTGGCGACAAGTTTATGACTGTTTACGAACCGAAACTAATCAACACCTACAACATGTGTCATTATCTGTTGTTACAGGTAATCTGTTTATCGGATGGGCCATTTATGATCACCAACATTAATTCATTCGAATAGATCGGTCAGTCGGCATTTTTCATTACATTCGAAGACGTCAACACAATTTGCAACGTTTACCATAGATTCATGAAGAAAACGTAATTGACAGAAAGACGAAATCTATAATAAACTTGTTTAAAAACATTGTATTACTTGTATTCCGTAAAAAAGTGTAAATTCATACGTAATTTGTCTTTGCCTGCCCTTCATTTTTGATACAAAAACAACAAAACCGGCCGCTATTGGTGATCGTATTAACTTCTATTGCACACTGTGTATAATCCTCTGAAGAAGGAGAACACCGGAATAAAGAAAGATAACTCAATTTTAATTTTGCTTAGTATTGAGATACGTACTCAAGATATGTTTACATACTTCTGACTTAATTTATAGGTTTAGGATGTCTTTTGAGTTATGAGCAAATTAAAGAGGCTCTTGATAGCAGGATGGGTAGGGTCATTAGGTCATAATTTTCTGTATTCTTTATTGTTTATACAAATTTTCACAGTTCTGTATATCTAAACACACATTATTCTCTTGTCGTCATTTAATTGCCGATTTTTTTTCTATTCTTTATTTTTTGATTTAAAAACATTTTCTCTATTATCATAATTATGTAGCATATACATACCATAAGCTAAGTATAAGGACTGGAACATTGATCAATAGTCATTATATAAGTCCCATTAGTCACTGTTTGGAGACATAAACATTCAAATAAAAACATGCAATACGCTGTTTTGTGGAACAACAGCTGCTTTGTTTTAATCTTTATTGTTATAGTTTTATTGTATACGTATCCTTATGAAATACTGACAAAGAATAGAAAAGTACACCTTTTTTCATGTATATAAACCCTATGCTATAACTTCCTTAGTCTATCATGTTAAATGATGTACAGTGCATAAGAAAGAAAGTTAAATTGAAATTGAAAATGATTTCAATTTAGGTAGAGGAAATCAAGAAGCTAGTTGGCTCCAAGTTTTCAAAACTGGCAACAAAGTATACCAGCTGGCGATTTTTATGGCGCCTTCTTATTTGGAGCCAGAAAAGCCCCTGTGATGGTTAAGTATTCAGATATAACTGATTATAAATGCATTCTTAATTGTTCATTTTATGAATATGTACCGATAAAACTAGTAGCATTATCTCCAGGGCTCGAATAATTTATTTTGATTTTAAAGAAATTCCCTATATAAGTTTTATTTATATGTAAAAATGATTACATGTTTTAATGTTAAAAATAATACGTTTGAAAAAAGCGGTTTTTTGTTAACACTAAATTAATTCATGAGCAAAAAAAAAATGTTTTGTGGGTTAAGAAAACACAGTGAATCTTCAATGGTTTCATTTCAGAAGGTATAACAAACAAATATCAAGACTTAATATGCGTAAAGATCGAGCATAACAATATACAACAACAAAAAATTAAATAGAATTGAGAATGTCTTCCATGATCGAAAAGTAAGAGGCATCAAGAGAAAAAGTATAAAGCAGCCACAAAAATGTGTTATGGTATTGCACAAATTAAAAATGAAATTATAAAGTCTTCATCTATGACTGTTCGCGCCACAGAGAGTCAAACAGTACACAATCATAGCATTAACATATATCAACTTAAGGACCCTTCTGAACAAATAAATAGGGAATCGTATGAACTCAAAAAGCAAAAAAAGAAGAGAGACCGGGTCCGTCGACAGGGTAAATGTCTTTGCATGCATCACCTACCATGCTACTCCACAATCAGTCAACATGTTACAATTATATGGCTGTTCCAAGCTAGGAGCCTTTATTTCAGGAGGTTTCATTAGTTGCTTTCTATCATAATAGTTTTTTGATACTGTTTTGCAGTTAAATCAGAAAATTTTCACTTGCTCAACTTGTCACTCCCTTTGTGTAACTCAAATTAAAGTTCAATGATAGATCATGCAAGGTAGCATGCGAACAAGATTAGATTCATTCTTAAGTAAAACAATTTTAACTTAAAATTGTAGTTTTATTTGTTTAACAAAATTAATAGGTTGTACAAAATATGTTTGATTGACGTCAATGAGACAAGACCGCAACGATTAAAATAAGAATTAAAAAATCATTTAGATATTAGCATACACTTTCAGCCGAAATTACACAATATGTTAGACAATAAGGTTTGTGTGTTGTATATGATAATACGAGTATAGAAAGAAATCACATTTATAACTTATAATCCAAAGGTATTTATCATATTTTAAAAGTTCTTTTCAGTTATTTCTTAAAACAAATCAAATGGACATAAATAAATGAAAAGGGTAAAAAATTTAATATAAGGTAATTTAAGCTTTTATGTATCCTTTTAAAATCCTCATGAAAAAAGTCGCCTGATTGTAAAGAAATCATTTTGTTTGCCAAGTTGCGTTTTTTGGTTAATTGTTCATGTTCCCTTTTTTTTTTGTTTCATAGAAAAAAAGATTTATTTAAAGGTTATACAATACTTGGTCATGTTATATGAATATGTCAAGCCCAAGATGTAGCTGATGGTTTTAAATGTTCATAAAACATCACCAAGTATTGTCTAGACATTCATCCTTTTCCCTTGGAATAAATCAAACCCTAGTATGAGTTCACTTTAAAGTATAAACATGGTTAATAATAGGGATGTAAACCATATGTAATGATCGAATAAAATAGAATGGAGATAGTTTTGTAAGCAAAAAAATGATACATTGTTTACAGCTGAAGATTATTTGTCTTCTTCGATGAAATTTAATACTATTATATCTCAAATTCCTTTACTAAGAAAACCTACATAAATCATTTTTTTTTCAATATGAATATTAAAATTAAAATCGTTCAAACATCAGATGTTTTCGTTCTTTTTTAATAATTAATGTATAAAATAACTGTATTGTTTTTTCCTTTGCTGTATATATTAACAATTATATTATCTGGTATAATCCAATGATTAAGCATTATTTTACCTTCACCTTTTCACCTTTTTATTTATTCCTTTCCGTAAATGTACCATATATGTAACATATATAACGTTTGCAATATTCAAAACTAAATTTTTAAATGCTTTAGTAATTCTATTCTCTTGTTGTCATTTATAATGATTAGACAAACTCGTGTACCCATGATTGTTTTTCCTTTGCTGTTTTCCTAGGGGATTGTACTCTTCGTTAAGGCAGTTATTAAGAGTACGCTATCATAATTAATCTACAAATCATTTATGTACAGCATTTTAAAGTGCATGCAAAGCCAAATAGAAGGAAAAAAATGGTGTTCCATTGGACGAAAAGGGATGGGTATGTTCGTAATGAAAAACTCATCAATTATACTTTTCTAATTTAATACCAGACGCGCGTTTTGTCTCCCGAAGACTTCATATCTTCAAATCATTCATATCTGACCATGTACAGCATGTACAATGACTAGTAGACCTTTGTTAGTAATTCTAATAAATTTGAAAACAAATTGTCAAATTCATTTTAAACATAGACCATTATAGTTGTCTTTGTGTTACACGATTATATTTTGATCATCTATTTTTATGTTTGATAGTAGTACATGTATCGATTGAACAGTATTAATAAATGACACTGTAACTCGTTCTGAGTTTCAAGATATGGTCCAAAAAATCATGTCAAAATAATGTTTGTTAAGACCTTGTTACAATCGGATACCATATTAACACTGATATAACTTTACAACGAATATCTAAAGAAAGAAAAATGAAAAATCTATACTTACCCAAAGCTACAATAAATAGAAAGACATTCAAATTTAATTTATTAAACAGTAACTGTCGTAATCAATCAAGTAAAATGTATAAGTAAATACAGTAAAAATACCATGGAAGGGACATTTAATGCTATTTTTGAAGATATAAAATCAATAAATAAAAAATGTAAAGAACGTAAAATTATATTTGAAATACTAACTTCAAAAACATTTCCTCGCACGCTTCAAGGAAAACGTTTGATAAGGATACTCATTTAATATGTTTAAGAACACTTGACCTAAATAAAAAATCAAACTACAAAAATTCGAACGGAAAGCCCTTTACAATTGGCAAAATCAAAAGCTCAAACACATCAAACGAATGGAAAACAACTGTCATATTCCTGACATGGTACATCAACTTTTTTGCTTAGACACTGGTGACGTTTTACAAAGTCTGAGTTGCAGCTGCAAGATCTTGAATACTGAATGAGTTGGGAAAGGTATATCCCATATGCAGGTGCAGTTGGTATATTGCTACTAAGGTGGGGGAAATTGATAATTTCAAAATTAAAATCGTCTCGTTTGTCATAGATTCTGGTACCGAGAAGACCGCTGATGTCAAATTTGAGTTTTAAGTCTAAAAATTACTCTTTATAAATGGTTGTCAGTTAATGGATCATGTTGTCTTTAATACAAACATATGGTATGTTTACACAAAGGTACAACGAAACCAGAAAGATTACACTTGATGAATTTCCGTTCAAATAGTTACATAAAAATCCTTAACATGCTCATTTTTGAACACGATAACACTTAATTTAAAATATATAATTGGTTTAAACTATGAAGTTGTTGTGATTTAATGAGTGTAGTACTTTGGGTCTGTAGTGTTACAATTCTTGCTTTGTTAAGAAGCTATGTTGATAAGCCTCATATCTACAAAGGTTCGTGTAGTTAATTTTACTGTAACAGGATGCACATCGATGTTATGCAGGTATCGTTAATGTTATTGAATTGATATACTTATAATATCACGAATCAACATTCATCTTGATATACGGAGATGCCAGTAAATTATGTTTTGATTGAATCAAATAAAAGAAGTGGAGTAGTTATCTATGTGAGGTTTGATAAGGGCCATTCTGTTTTGTTATTATTTTATATTCGAAACATGGAGCATATCCTTATATACCTGTGAACCAAAAACAGGTTGATTTTGATATTTTCGATACAACCACAGCTCATAGACGTTGATCAATAAACGTTTCAACTAACGAATAAAAATGTATAAGTCAACAATGACCTGAAATGTGATTTATCAAATCATTTTGAGACATTTTTATATTAAAGACTTAGAGCAACTAACGACAAAAATAAAAAAAAATGACAATACAAATAAATGAAAAAGATATACCACAGCTTCACGAATATCCGCAGGCTTAAGAAACCGTATTCCAAACATAAATGCAACTACAGTCAATCGAAATTCGCCTTCTCAAGTCAGCGGTTTTCTTAATTATGACAAAGTAGGCAATGTCTCTCCAGAAAGATTATTTAACAAAAAGCAAGTGGGTATCAACAAATATTCCTGTGCAATGCCAGCAAATGGCAAATCTACTCTCGAGAATTTTCGAATACTACTGTATGGCAATCAGTGAATAAAAGAGCCTTTTCGCTCATTCCCTGTGACATAACTTGAAAACCCAAAACCTCATTTATCTAGTAAATTTAACCAATCAACGTGTGGTTTTTAATATGAAGGACAAACGGGATGGGCATTTTTAAGCGAACGTCTTAACATCTACCAACAACCAAAGAAAGCACAAACACAATATTAGATTCAGAAATATGAACCAATCAAACCGTTCAAAATTATCAAAGACAATAAAATTAAAAATTAAATGATTCCCCTTGAAACTGCGAACTGTCTTATATTAAACTACATACAATAATTTAACTCGGTCTTCACGAATCAATATTGAGGATATTCGAATATCACATTTTGAAAATAATTTAGAAATTAATTAAGTGTTACCTCATACATGTCATACGCCCATTTCTAGAATTAGGAAATAATTCAGAGACTCGAAAATCGTTTTTGTTTGAAACAGCCGAAAAACAAAATGTAACATTGACGTTGACGCATCATTTAAGTTCTTAAGAATAAAATTATTAATAATTTTACATTCAAAACCATGTTCTCCACAGAGAGTAGAACATTGAAAAGGTATAATAAAAGAAACACGAACTCCAAGGCAAACCCAAAAAGGTGAAGTCCATAAAAACTGACAAAATCAAACATTTGACTTTATCAACCAACGGA